TGCTATCTTATCGGAAGGCAAAAGAAAAGTGAGTTGAAGTGTTAACGGAGAAAACCATTAATAATTTGGTACCAGGTTATTTATGCTACCAATAAAGATTTGAACCCAGAAATGGCAGTTGTATGTGAAGATGCATCACTTTGTAGTACTTTTGCCTTGTTATTGTTAACTCATTGCCCGTTTCACCCCACTTTGATCTCCGGATTGCCAGGTTTTGGAGTAACAGCGGCAGGGGTTGATTTATCTGTTTCTTCCTGTCCTACTTTTTCAGCTTCCTTCTGGTCCATCTCGTCTTTCTCTATGTATATTTGAGCAGCCCATTCGGTCAGATGCTGTCATAGGTGTCACTTTTAAAACAGAGATGAATAATAGATACTGTCCCAAAGCAGCAAAATATGCCTCTTATTTTTTTTTGTTCGAAAACTTATCTTTGGTTCGTTCTTCCTTCCAAAATTTTGCGAGTATTCTACTGCCAATATAAGGCACCACTTTTGGACAGTCATTCTGAGAAGATTACGCACTTGAACGATATCCTCAGGTCCGGGATAGGAAAATGGCAAGAGCCACGCTATCGACTCGTCTGCATCAGAAAGCCCACTTTCAGCAAGTGTCAAATAGCCAGTTAGCGTTAGCTAAAAACTGCTGTACCTAATAACTGATTTATCGTAGTATGAACCTCACCTGAGCAAAAATTAGTCCTATGATTTGCATGCCAAGAGATAGGAAAATCAAAATAATAGAATAACGCGGTTCCAGCAGACCATAATTGGCAGAGAAAAGGGCATGTACACATCCTAGATGAGGAAAGGTAAGATTTTAACGGATTTGTCAGGGATATGCTTTTGGGAGCTCACCTCGACTTTTGTACCATCGCTCATGAAATCGTTCTCCTTCTATGTCTAACTCAGCTAGTCGATATTCCGTACATTCCACAGAAAAACAGCAAGAGAGCGGATAGAGACATGCTATGTCTTCATGTGGACAGTCGTTTAAAGTCTTATCCCGCGGCAAAGAGCTAAAAGGAGGTCGATCGATTATCGATTAGGTCATCGGTTAGTTAGGCTTACTTGCTGATTCCGTAGATTTTTACACTGGATAAGTCTTGATAGTCAGCAGAGCCATTGATTCCACAACAATTATAAGCAATCTGAGCAAAAACGCAATAAATGACGGATTTTTGAGTGCGAAATTGGGCTTTTATCGTAAAAGTCTTGTATAGGAAAGCGACTATTATCACTTCAGAATAAAATTCTTCTAAATAAGATTTTAGATTGTATGTTTTAGATTGGAAACAAAATTCCACAATCCAATAATAGATCGACATATTGATTAGATGTAGCGATCAATATATCGATCTTAAGTATATCCATCTTTTCTTGATAAAGGTTTTTTGGTTTATACCGCGTGCCTCTTGGATTACTGCACAGATATCGCCGTACTCATGAACTTATTATGTAAGGATCCACGTCACGCAATGTTGACT